TGGTCATTTTCCACTTTTCAACTAAAAATGTTTTTGTGTTCAAGCAAGGTTCACAATAACACTTACACAAATGAATTTCTTTAGTAAAATGAATGATGATATCACTCCCCAGAACTTTTTGGAAATGGGAACATTGTTCCATTTGTGATTTGAAGGCTTCCTTGTGAAAAACACAACAGATTAATTAGTCTGCAGAACCTGATCCACATCTATCTGAAAGGGATCTGTAATCAGGGAAAGGCAATTGTTCTGAGTGGAGCTGATACTCGGTACTTGCTTTAAAGGGATCCCTTTGCATATCCATGGGAGAGCTGCTGTAGAATGTCTACTCCTTTGTCTCTACCTACTGTAATTGACCCTGAAAAAAGGAAGAAAATACCATGCACAACACCATGTCAACACCACCCATTCTCTGAGCTGATCCAGAAGGATATCATGATCAATGGAACTGAAAGCCACCAAGAAGTCAAGTAGGACAAGAAGGGATTTACAACGCCAATTCCACAAATGCCAGAGATCATTCAAAAGTACAACCAATATCGTTTCTGTCCTGGGACAGAATCCTGAGTGAAATGGATCCAGATAATCTGCTTCATCCATGACCATGAGCCTCAGTGTCCTGGTGGCCAGAGTACAGTACTGAAGATTACTTCTGCTGCCTGCTGGCTGCCTGTAATTTGGCAGTTCTAATCTCACCAGGTTCAAGTTTGGCTCAGCCTTCCATCTTTCTGAGGTGGATAAAATGAGGACCCAGATTGTTTGGGGCAATATTCTGACTATGTAAACTGCTTAGAGAGGACTGAAAAACATTGTATAGCAGTATATAAATCTAAGTGTGATTTCTTTGCTATCTGTACCAATTGTGCAACCAAAATTCAAAGATTTTTCTCCTTTAAAGAATAAATATTTTCTACCTGAAATAGACTTTGACAGTGTTACAATTGTAATATCCACTGAGATCCCATTTAAAAATATTCTATTATAGATAGAATGTCCTATTTTATCTCCTATGATAAAAAAAATTAATATTCTTAAGTACTAAATTCACATACCTATGTGAATATTCACCATGGATTGAATTGCATGGTCATTAAGACATATATTTTTTAAAAAATCCATTTCAGATAAATAAAAAACTTATCTTTGTGCAAATAGCCCCAATTCTCAATATACTGTAGAATAATTGTAGTTTTATAACTGTATTACTATTGGTTCATATATATTAGTTCATGGCAGCCATGGTAGCATAGTGGTTAGGATGCAATACTACAAGCTATTTCAGCCGACTGCAATTTGGCAGTTTGAATCTTATCAGGCTCAAGGTTGACACAACCTTCCATACTTTCGATGTTGGTAAAGTGATGACCCAGATTGTTGGGGGCAATATGATAACTCTCTAAATCAGGGGTTGCCAACCTTTTGGACCTCAGGGACCACCAAACTCATAATTTTAGATCCCAGGGACCACTAACCGGTTCTGTGGGAATGGCCTAATTTGTGGGTGTGGCTTGGTGGTCATGTGACTGGCGGGGCATGGCTTGTATGTAAATATTATATTTATATAAATATTGAATTTTTTTATTAAAAAAGAGCAACTTTTACCCAAAATCAGGCAAAGCAGGCAAATTGAGTTGCTCACACAATCACAGATTCATTCAGAGATCTATCTATCTGCCATCGGCTAGCTCAGTCTGTCACATAAAATTTGCTTGCAAGCAAACTCACAAAATTAACTCACAACACACCATGCATGTAAATATTGATTTTTTTTTTATAAAAGGAGCAACTTTTACCCAAAATCAGGCAAAGCAGGCAGATTGAGTTGCTCACAGAATCATTCAGTGATCTATCTATCTGCCATTGGCTAGATTAATCTCTCAAATTTGCTTGCCCTGAGTCTGCACTGAATTTGCTTGCAAGCAAACCTTCAGTCCTAAGGGAGATTTGGCTGTGCTGAGCCGAAGATTTAAAAAGACTAGCAAGAAAACAAGAAATCCAACCATTTCCTACTTCCTAGCTAATCTAAATCTGCTGGCACAGCAGAACAGATGATGGTTGGAAAAAGGAAAAATAGCAACTTAGCAGACAAGTTTTCCGGATAAGGAGTGAGTGGGCAGGGAGGGTTCCTGTGGGCCATGTGAGCTGAGCAGCCTTGTGTTTCTGCACAGCCTGGATTAATTGCTTTGTGGGGGTGCTCTGGGGGTGAGATTTCTTTGTGGCCCACCAAAATTTTCTCTCAGCCCACCGGTGGGCCACAGCTCACTGGTTGGTGACCGCTGCTCTAAAACACCAAGAGAGGGCTGTAAAGCACTGTGAAGCAGTATATAAGTCTAAGTGGTATTGCTATATAGAATATACATATTTGTTTAGAATAGAATAACAGAGTTGGAAGAAACCTTGGTTTCTAGTCCAACTCCCTGCCTAGGCAGGAAACTGTACACCATTTCAGACAAATGGTTATCCAACATCTTTTTAAAAACTTCCAGTATTGAAAGCATTCAAAACTTATGGAGGCAAGTTGTTCCACTGATTAATCGTTCTAACTGTCAGGAAAGTTCTCCTTAGTTCTAAGTTGTTTCTCTCCTTGATTAGTTTCCACCTATTGCTTCTTGTCCTGCCTTTAGGTGCTCTGGAGAATAGCTTGACTCCATCCACTTTGTGGCAGCCCCTGAAATATTGGGACACTGCTATCATGTCAGCCCTTTCTAGGGATGGCCCTTAGAATTAGGTGCAAATTAAACCTGATGTAAATCATGCTGATTCCAAGCCACCTATTCTAATCTTAGTGTCAGCTCTGAAAGCCATATTTTATTTGGGAGCTTCGAGGCTGCCATATTTTGCGCCTATGAATTTGGAAGGGGGGATTTCATAGAGAGGTAGAAGAGTAGACTCAACAACATTCTTTCACATAAAATCAAGGCCATGTTCCCTGGCATGTGGAGGGGAGTGTTTGAAGGAAGGTCTCCAGTTGGGACAACGTTTGACTGGACCATGTGATGGAATGGTGGGTGCAGAAGAGGGATTTTTGATTTGCTAAAGAATGGGGAGTCCATGATAGACAGTTTGAGATTGAAGCTGTGAGGGTTTGAGGCTGTAACAATGGAGTCTGGTAGAGCACTCCAGGCATTGACCACTCTGTTGCTGAAGTCATATTTTCTGCAATCGAGTTTGAAGCAGTTTACCTTGAGTTTGTATTGATTGTTTGCCCATGTATTATTGTGGTTGAAGCTGAAGAAGTTATTGACAGGCAATATGTTGTAGCAGACTATTTTGTGTACTATACTTAGATCCAACTTCAGGCAGCATAGTTCCAGATTGTCCAAGGCCACAATTCCAAGCCTAGAGGCATTCTGGTGATGAAGCACTCAGAACTTCTAATGTGATGTGGAAATAATTTCAATCTGCTTCACTACAGACTATTTTCATAATGTGGGAGTGAGTCTTACTCAAAGATAAAGGAGACTCTGATCTTTTGTTATTTTATAGATGAGATTCCTACTCTGTAAATTTTATCTATAATAAATATATGTTATGAATGGTCCCACAGTTTCCATTTGAAGTACTGGACTATTGGATTTGATGAATTGTGATTCCATTGCATTTGAAAAGAGACTACAGTGAACACTTAACAAAATGAAGTGATAGGGAGAATGTACCCCTGTGAATAGGAAGGGGAGGAATGAAAGGAAAACCTCTCATGAAGGAAGGAATGCTTTGATAAAAGAAATCCACATATATCTTAATTCCATATCTTGTCTCACTAAGCAAATTGCTAAGTTAGATGTATTAACATCCTTCTAATAATTAATCAGAATTTATAGATATTTTATTTCTGTTTTGTTATTAAAATGTGTGCTTGCTAATAACAACTGATAACTACAACATAATAAGTAAAAAGTACAAACTCAAAGCAAAAAAGGGAAAAAAAATCTTAGTTATAAAAGTCTTTAGTTATAAAAGAAATACATTTATCGACCTTGTGTGATCTTGTTCAGTCTAGAATTCACACTCTTGGATTTTCACTTTAAAAAAAGAAAATTGCTGATAGAAAATAAATGTTGAACTTTAGTTGTTATATTTAAATTTGAAATTTCTTTAAATGCAATTGAGTAATTTCAGACACTTTAAGTGGATACTTAGAAAACTTTAATTTGTTGACTTGACAACAGGTTTTCTCTGGTTTTGCTCAAAGCATACAAGTACTCCCCCAATAAGTTCTGTGAGCCTCACTATCCCACCAAGATTTCAGAGTTATAACTAAATCAGACTGGAACACATATTCCTTAAAAAAATAACTTAAAATTAATTTTGAATTTTGATGTTATTCTCAGGAGTGATTCTACCTGTTCCACTATTAGTTTGGTGATCGCATGCAGATGTGTGAGCACCTAACAGGCAGACACCTAATGCATGTATATAGCTTTCCACACACCAGCTGAGACCTGCAGCATCAATCAGCTGAGAGGATAAAGGGAAAAGTGCAGGGGCAGGTGGGAGGGCTGATCCTCTTCTTTCTCTTCTCAGCTGATTGTTGGAGGGTTGTTGTTTTTTACTACCAGTTTGGCTGAACTGGTCTGAACCGGTAGCCTACCACCACTGGTTTCTCTTCTCAACTTTAAAACAGAATACAAATAAAAAAAATAAAAAGGTGTTTAAAGAAATCTTCTCATCAGTTGTCCCTTGTTATTTAAATCAGACCAAAATAAAATAATATAACACTTGGGGGGAAAGATGTACTCAGGTAGGTTGGAACAAAGGTGACCCAACACACTGCAGTAAATAAAACAATAGAAATGTATGGGCAATTTTATCATAGTTGTACTATGCTTTTGAGTCTGGAAACATGTAAAATCCATTTCTCCAAGATTTCAGAGTTACAACTAAATCAGAATGGAATACGCACCCCCCCTTAAAAAAATAATAACTTAAAACTTAAATTTTGAATTTTGATGTTTCTCCTCTCAAGTTTGAAATGCAATAATAAAAATGAAAAAAGGTATTTAAATAAATCTTCTTATCAATTGTTCCCTATTATTTAAACCAGGCCTAAATACAATAATGTAGCACTTGGGGACAAATATACATCCTAGAAGCACTGCACTAGAACACAAGATAGAGAAGATCTCCACAGCCACCATGGCTCTTCCCCTGGTGCTCAGGTAGGTTGGAACAAAAGAGACCCACACACTGCAGAAAGCCAACATGCTGAAGGTGATGAACTTGGCTTCATTAAAGGTGTCAGGCAGTTTACGAGCCTGGAAAGCCACAATGAAGCTGGCAAATGAAAGGAGGGCCATATAACTCAGGACACAATAAAACATAACAACTGAACCTTCATTGCATTGTAGAACCATTTCTTCAATTGCTGAATGCATGTCTAATTCTGGGAATGGGGGAGAGGTGGATAACCAAACAATACAGATGCTTGCTTGGAATAGAGAGCAAATAAGTACAATAGAAACAGCCAGTCTCTTCCCCACCCATGTCCTCATCCGGGATCCTGGCTTAGTGGCCTTGAAGGCAAGAGAAACAAGGATCGTTTTGGCCAACACACAAGAGATGGACAATGAAAAGGTGAGGCCAAATGCAGACTGTCTGAGGAGACAGGTGACTCTTCCAGGTTGTCCAATAAAGAGCAAAGAACAGAAGAAGCAAAGCAGAAGGGAGATGAGGAGAGTGTAAGTGAGATCCCGGTTGTTGGCTTTCACAATAGGACTGTCTTTGTGCTTAATAAATATTCCCAACACCCATGTTGTAGTGAGGAAAAACAAAGTAGCTACAGTGGTTAAAATGAGTCCTAAAGGTTCTTCATAAGACAAGAAGCTAATAGTTTTCATGATGCATCCATCTTTCTTATGGTTTGCATATTGGTCATCAGGACATTGAAAGCAAGTAACAGTATCTAAAAAGAAAAAAAATATCAACACAGATTCATAACAATGATCATTATTAATTTTCATATTGATCCACACCCTGATGTTTATACCTTTGTACCAAATATAGGATCTACAGTATGAAAATACATTTGAATATCTCCTTATGTATATTGTGTGTGTTGTTGTATTAAGTCAAATATTAATTGGATTATACACAAGGAAAATTAGCAAACACCATGAAAATCCATTTTATCTTGATTTGCTTTCTTGTGATAAAGGAGCTCTCCAATGATGATTTATGAATATCTGAATATATTTTCATATGTAAAACCATATTGACTTATTGAATATTTGATTTCTTGTTCTTATCACCATCTTGGAATAAATCAGCATTATATATAAAATACACATAGGTATTACACATCCACTTTGAGGAAAATCTGAATAAGGATTTTTCAACTAACCAAATTGTGCAGAAATGTATAGATAGATGGATAGATGGATGGATAGATAGATAGATAGATAGATAGATAGATAGATAGATAGAGAGGTAGATAGATAGAGAGGTAGATAGATAGACAGACAGACAGACAGACAGACAGACAGACAGACAGACAGACAGA